CTTTGATATTGCTAACTCTAACTCGCTGGATGTAAATGCTGCCACCAGTGCCTCAGGAATTATATCTTTTTGTCTTATATGTTGTTTGTTTTCTTGAACCTCTCGCTGTTTCTCTGGGCTGACATTAATGTTGCTGTCTTCTGCAAAGGAATCTGCAAAGTGGTCAGCTGCCTGTTTTCTTGTTAGGATGGCTCCCTCTTTGCATAGTGCAATATTACCATTTCTTCCTGTATTCTCATCATTAATTTGCTTAATTAACCTCCACAACTTCCTTGTGTCTCTTTCAAAGTTTAGAGACTTTGTCTTTTCTTGCCAGCTTGCCCGTCTAGCCTGCAGTTTGGCTCTTTGAAATTTGGCCTTTGAATGTTGGTAGTTGTTAAACTGCTCTTGACAAGGTCTGGTCTCAGCTTGTTTTCTTTCTGTTTCCATATTGTTGTGCAGTTGCTCCAGATTGCAATTCCAGTACGGTTTGTATTGTTTACGCGCACCTCTTGGAACTGCTTCTAGGGCTGCCTGCAGCATGCGTTTGCTCAACTCTTGGACTACTTTTTCTACGTCGTTATCTGTGTTTAGATTTTCCAGCAGGACATTTGTGCGAAGCTGATACAACTTCCAGTCTGCCTTCTTAAAATTCCACCTTGGCAGTGTGCTGCTCTCTCTTACAGACTGGCTTTCTATAGTTAGAAAGACTGGCCGGTGGTCACTGCCTCCTAGTTGCTTCCCAACAGTTCTGGTAACATTCAGTTCCATGTCTGCTGAGTGAAAGGCTAGGTCTGGTGTCGAGGTGGTATGCCATGCTCTAGAGTAGAAGGTTGGTGGGTCGGTTGGCTTATTAACGAGGATGAACCTATTCTCATCCTACCAGTCCTCTAGTTTCTCTCCTCTCTGGTCCATATGATCGTATCCCCAACTTTGGGAATGGCTATTAAAATTCCCACAAATGATCATTTTTTCATTTATTAGTACTGTATCCAGTGCCTGAGGGTGGTCGCTCGGACAGTAATAGTTGGTCAGATGTAAATCTGTATTTTCTAACTTGAGCTCAAGTGTTTGATACTCAGCACCTTCCATGTATGTTTCGATCCGGCCCGCAAGGATGTTATTTTTGACCAGGGTAAGAATTCCACCTTTTCTCCTGTCTTTGCGGTCAGATCGGAAACACTGGTAGCCTCTGATCTTAAAGGCCATATCTTGTTTGAGATAAGTCTCTTGTAGGCAGCATACATGTACATTCTCTTCGTTCAAGACGTTTTCTAATTCTAATTTCTTAGTATTTACTCCCTCCGCGTTCCAGTGCATTATTTTAAGGCTAGCTGTATTTTCTGCTTTTCTGGTTCTACGGGGCATTAGGGGGAGGCTTCGAGTATTTGAAGCTGGACTCTTTCTTCTTGTCTTAGGCCGGTAAATCGAACCACGTGTACGTGAGTGGGTCGCATGGTGGAAATTAAACTTATTTGCAGATATAGAAATATTCCCTGTTGCGTTTGTGCGTGGCATCCTGATTGCTGTGGTGCGCCTCCTGGCTGGTTGCCTCCGACTTCAGCACCTTGTTTTGCTAGAGTAGACTGGGGTCTTACCCGTGGACTCCCATGTTTATAATGGGAGCGTGGCTCCTACGCGGTTACATTATCGGAATTAGGACACGGCCGCCGCCGTGGCTATTTTGTGGAAATAATTCCGTTATATCACCCCTAAACCACATAATACTTGTATCCACGAACAAGAGAATATCCATCGTCAATGAATTCGTAATAATCGCACTTTGTTATCAAGAGAAAAACACAGATTAAGTGAAAATTTTAGAATAAAATCGAGTGTCGCCGCAAACACGTCCTCACGCTGCCATTTCTAAACCGGAAGTCTCAACTTAACTCTGCTCAATGTCATCATCGTCATCTCATAACACTGCATATAGTTTGGTCACCAGTTTCTGTTGACTGATCAACTGTCTCCACCTTTGGCGGTCAGTTGCGATGGACTTCTTGGTTGCATGCCTGAGACCTGTCCAGTCAGTCAGCTTCTGCAGCAAGGTCTTTCTTGGTCTGCCTCTTCTCGTCTTTCCCTCTACTGAGCCCTGCAGTATTGTTTTTGAGAGGGCGTACGATCTTTACATGTCCATACCATTGCATTTTTTGCCTTTTTACTGTAGTTAAGAGGTTCATAGTTGCCACTGTGCTGTACAATTTTATGGTGAACCTGTTTCAATGTCATAGATGGAATATTCACTTCATACCTTGTCTGTAATATCTGCTGTGTGCTTATCTTTATAATGGGTCACCTTCATTGCATGCTATACTTCCTAAGTGGACTCTCGACACGTCTCAAACTTGTACTATTTTTTAGGATTTGGTTTCAGTTTTGTATCTGATATTTCTCAGCTTCATGTTCATAATGTAATTTAGTACTAGGTTCCCCTAATGCAAAGACTCTTTTTTAACTTAGTTATTTTGTTGCTTCGTAGACCCTTTTGAATTGTTCATAACGAGCACAAATGTGTTTTTGTATTGTCAGCTTTTTTTAAAAAAACAGCGATGGGCAGTTTTACTGTTACTCGTGGCAGCTACAGTAGAATTTGTTGTTGTTAAGTATTGCAGAATTTTGTTTTATGAGTAGCATACATTTTTAATCTTTTATACACTTTTTTGATCATAAATGTGAGGCTTGTAAATGGAATAACTAAAAATATTTTTGTCTTTAAATTGCAATCATGCTGTATAAATATTGCTCTTTTCTGTGTCTTTTCCAGTGTTCTTCTATTTTTGCAACCTCTGTACTTTATAGATTGGCTCTTCCAGTTTATTGTGGTCTTTGATTTTATTGAAATTATCTAAACTCTGTCACCCTAAGAAGGCAAAATCTGGTCACTTCCAGTTGTGACACCGCCCCATAATTTTTGTTATATCACCATTGTTATATCGCCATTTCTGCAGTGGTCTGTTCTTTAAAAGCGTAGTTAAATTACATTGGTTCTGTGTGTGCCTGCATAGTGTTTAGGCGCCCCGGTTGTGAATATATAACTAAGTGAAGCATTTAGAGAATAGCTTTTTAGAATCCAGGTTGTTTAAACTTTTCATGTAAGATCTCAGTGATAGAGCTCACAGCAATAGTCACCATATACTTATTTATTTTAGGCCTTCTGTGGCTTTTTTTTTTTTTCTTTTCTTTTTGTGAATGCCTACATTTATTATTTTGATTACTTCCCTTGGTGTTCTCTGTTTTTTTTGGATGTATTTCTCTGGCTTTGTTGAAACTTTCTTAATAAAATGTGAATATCTGAGGTAAAACTAAAGGTGTTGATTTCATGTGATCTTTTCCTTCCGCAGTTTTCCATTCTCTGAAGCTGTTGTTGGCTCAGCTTAGGTCTTTGCCCTAACATCCTTGTTTATGCTAGTGTATCACCTTCTTTTTCCCTTGCCATGTATCTTGTCCTCAAGAGTTATATGGTGATTATAATGAAAACTGTTGACTTATATTTTGAATATTGCTTGTGGTTTATACATAGATTGCATTATTGTAATTTTAAAATTATATGTTGAATACATTAAAGATTGCCACCCTCTTGTGCAGTTTATGCATTACCTAGAGCGTGCAGCCAATTCCTCCCGGCTAGCAGATTTGACCTCTCTATTATCAACATTGAATTGTCAGTCTGTTTCCTATTTCAGTGTTTGTGTTGTAGTTCTTTTCCTGCTTTGCTTCAATATGTTTCCAATAAATCACATTCTGTATCTTATAATTTGATAACAGCAGTTATCCTCCCATTTTTCTGATTTATTTGTCTTTCTTAAATTCTTTTCATTTAATCAATTTTCTTCGGCAGTTGTTTTAAGATGCATTTAGCTTTGTCCTTGTCTTTAGTGGCTCTGCAAATTTCACTGGCGGATGTTAGACATCATTAAATAGGAAGATAGTAAAATCCAACCTATATTATTTAAGTCCAGTTTACAATGTTAACCCTGTCACCCAGGGAATGCTTAAAAATAGGCAATGACCTTGTTGGAATTCCTAATAAATCCTTTTAGAAAACACATTTTACATGGGTACTAATACATTTGTTAAAAAATATTTGTCTTAATTTTTTTAATTTAAATAATCAGTGTATGCAGTTATATAAATGGAGTAATCAGCAATCATGAACTGGGTGACGCATGAAAGGAATACAGTCGCTGACTAAATAAACATATGTATCATGTGATTCATGCCATAACCTCCACCACTGAGGCTTATGGGAAAATTTGACCTCATCTTGGTTCTTAAAAAGCTATTTGGTTGACTGGGAACACCCTCCCCCAGATACAATTTTTAATCAATATATTCATATCCTGACCTCCTAAATGTTTGCACATGCAAGATCACAGCCAGCAGCATTCACTGTGCATCTTGTTAACACATCACTATGGAAGAGTCAGTCAAGTGCGTTTCTCAGGAAATAGGCCACAACTAAAAGTGTCAGTTTTGTGGTTTCTTGAGGCGACAGGGTTGATTAAAAAAATTATGTTCGATGCTTATAATAATTTGTTTTTCAGTATTTTGTTAGTTCTTTTCATGTCTTGTGGAATTAATTAACATTTGTATTAGCTTATAATTTATTAAAGAAGACATAAACAATAGATTGTACAATTTATTGCCTGGCATATCTAACTGTATCTCGTCATTACTTCCGCCCTAAACTTGGTAAACAAAAAGATATGATTCAGACACTGCCCGCTGCCCTGGTAAAACAGGCATTTGTGTTTGTTGTTGAATTTGTACTTCATTTATAAAGGATTCACTTGTTTGCTTCATTTATGTAATTGTTATTCTAGTATGTACCTGACAAGTTACAGCAAAATATGCCAGGCAATAAATTGTGCAATCTATTGTTTGTGTCTTCTTTATTCAAATTTATAATTTAGTATTTTTGTTTTCCCTTTTATTATGTTTGGCTTCTTGGCTGCTTTTTAAAAATTGTCATGTGCGGTGAAGATTTAATGATAGCAATGGGTTACACCCATCATCAGATCCCTTTGAAAAACAGTAGACAGGAAGAGGCCATGGAGGAAGACGAGGATCCTCCTAGTAGTGCCAGCTCATGCTCTTATGCAAATGGCAATGCAGAAAACATTCCAGAGCGCAGGCATCAGGGGAGGCGCACTGGACGGCAGAGTGCTTCCAGCAGACACAGTGAAAAGGTATTGTTTTCAGTATACATTCCAATGATCGTATATATACCCAGTGGCGACCATTGCATACTTGAAATAATTTTTGTTTAAATAGTGATTTACATTTGTAGTGTATTTTGACATCTCAATTTTACATTCTATATAGACTGAGTGAACAGTTTCCGTGTGATTGTATAGAAATAGAAAGCAGTTTGCTGCTTCAGACAAATGTTTCTAAATTTTATTGTTTTCTTGGTATTTGAAGCTTATATTTTTTGGGAATTTAATGTATTCTCATTATCCATGTTGTGTGACACTGGTCATGCCTGGCCACATCTTTCTGTCTCATGTATTACCCATCGACCTCTGACTTGAGCTCCCATTGTCTCTTCCCATTCAACTTTCTTGTTGCCACAGTGTGCTCCAGTTCCCCTTTTTTGTGTGTGATGTGTTGCAAAATGTGGATTGACCATTTCTGAAGCTGATAATCAATTCTTTTTCTAAATTAGTATTCCTTCTTCTTAGCATTTGCCGGCTGTAAACTCCTTAGGAAAATTTGGAACGTTTGTCCACTTTTAAACTGTAGTGTTGTTTTAGAACTTGAGTTTTGCATGCACAATCGTTTTAAAGATCTGGTTTATTTGTAGGCAAACTGTTGGTTCTTCACCTCTCAGGCAGATGCGCTTAACTTAGGAAACACCCATAACTAGTCACTAAGGCTGCCACTTACAACATGCTTATTAGAGGGCAGTGGATCTGTTCCCCCTCACACCCAGCAAGGATCTGAATTGGTTCTTTTCTAGGCATCTTTATTACACTTTTCACTGAACCTGTTCTCATTATTCTTCTATAAAACAGGATATATGTTTAAAATGGCCTGTAAAGTGATTAACTTGAAGGCTGCAGTAATTCTGGAAGATTTCACAATTGTGATATTGTACCAGTGATATACACAACCATTGAATAATTATGGGTGCATTACTTTAAAATTCACAGTTGAAATGGCTACTGGGGCAGCCATTTTTTTTTTTTTTTTTAGCCAAGCAACGATTGGAATGTTCCAAGGTTATGGAGATTGCTCATTTTAGAACTCAAGCATTTTAGTTACTCTTAATGTATAGTCAGATTATTCCAGAGTGCTTTATTCATTTCATTGCTGAGCAATTTAAAAGTAAAATATTGAAGTAAATGGGGTTTGTATCTTTTAAAAGTGAATTAGGCTTGCTTTCTGCTAATTTAAATTTGTAATTGAAGCAAATTTAGAATTGTATGTGGGTACTCCTGTCAAATCCGGACGAAGAATAAAAAGCCTTGGACGACTTAGTCAGAGTTCTCTCCCTTGGGCGCACTGCGAACAGTGATCGGAAAAGCCACAACGAAACAAACGACACAAGCAACATGGCAGTTAGACGCACTCACATAACTAACATCGTTATTCCGACACACGACTTAGTTGCCACGGACGTAACTCCTGCAGACCTGTATGCCATAATGACAGATAAGTATGCGTGGTTGCGGTGGCTAGCTGAGCATAGTCTGATAAGGAACTAGCAACCGTGTTCCTCGTGCACGCGGCCAATGTTCCTATGTCCCCGGCAAGCTGGTGAAACGCACCATTCGCCAACGATTGGGCACCAGCCGCACACTATTGGCATCATATTTAGCAGACTTCCAGTGGCGCCACGCCCACAAACATCAGATTGTCGGCCACTATTTCCAAACCCTACGTCAAAATTTTAAAATCTAACCCTAACCCTAACCCTACCCCTAACCCTACCCCTAACTCTAACCCAACAACCGCATGATGATGACTACACAACCATTCACAATGCCTCACGAAACCGTACGCAGCCCTACACGCAACCGCAGGATGATAGGTAAGTGTGTCGTTTATTTCGTTTGTTTTCCGAATACTGTTCGGAGTGCGGCCAAGGGAGAGAACTCTGACTAACTCGTCCACGGCTGTTTATTCTTCGTCCGGATTTGACAGGAGAGCCTTGTATGTGGCAGTTTATGAAAAGTAGATGCAACTTGCTTTTCCTTGTTAGTGACCTCTTTATTTGCACCACTAACACAACCTGGGTGCTTTACTCACCTAAGAAAGGATATTTTCAACAATTTGTTTTAAAATTATTATTTTAAAATATTTTTTCTCCTTATTTTGGCAACATTGTCTCAGACATTAATAGATTTGGGTGTCATATCATTTATATTTCAGACTTTCGATTTAAGGACTTGAGATCTCATGACAAGAGCTAATTATAATGACTTATTTTGAAGTTATAGCAATAATCAGTAACTGATTAATTTTATTTTTAAAGCTATGAATATGATTTACTGACAGAAACAATAAATATTTTTCATGAGTTACATAAAAAAATATACATATAATCATAATTTTAAAATATGCATTCAGTAGAACCTTCAAAGTTGACCTCCACCCTATGTTGACCTCATTTTTATTGATTGACGATCGCCGGATATTCTCAGTGGAAGACTACCTCTAAATGTTGACCACCTCTGTCAAGTTGTATGTTGATCACTTGGACTATCACACACAATAGTAATTTAACCTCTGCAACATTACTTTCTGGTCTTAACCAGTGGTGTGTATGTGTACTTTGCTGCATTCAAAACACACAGCGGCATTTTCCATCAGGTGATTATCACATTAGGAAGAGAATATCAAGAGTGGTGTAAGGGTACGGCAGAATTAAGAGATAAAACAACTGATAGATGGTGCAGTAATGTACACTAATGGATCTGTTCATCAGGGTGTAAGATCTGGTTGAGAATTTTCAGCTCGAGGGCAAGGAAAAATTGTGGCCTAACAAAATGATGTTTTTTAAATCTAAAACTTCAAGCATGGGAATGGAGGTGGAGTCAATCACTGCAGCATTTAAGAGGATAATATAAAATATAGTAACCAGAGGAATTGTAGTGTCTGATTCTCTATTGTAGTGTCAATACTGCAGAAGGTTTACGTGTGGCTTGAATGGATACCAAGCAAGTGAGCATCACTGTGGTATACTGTTCTGGACATGCAGGAGTGCGAGTGGGAAAAAGAGTGGATTTAATGGCTAAAAGTGATAGCTACAGTAACACTTTTACTGGACAAAGGAGACATTCTGAAGACCATTTCTGAATGGTAGAAGGCGCAAGGTTAGATAAAAAACATGTGTAAGAATATGTGAAAGGAAAATTATGGAGGGACATATTAGAGTAAGAGAACAATGAGTTTATATAATCAATGTGCTGTGGAAACAGTTAGCATCTACCCTTAAGGCATTTGCTGTGAGAGATGGAGCACCTATGGGTATGGCCGGTGTGCTATGATGTCGATACTTGAATCTGTAAATGAGTTGCTTAAATACAGTAATATCACACATTCTGTTGTCAACACCTGTTAATTGAGACGTACTGACCTAAAAAAAAATGAAACAATTGACATTCAGACTTGGACACAGAAAGTTTTATGTGGTGAATCCAGTGAAGTTAAAGTAGTAATAAAAGTATTCATGGAAATGTTCCCTTACTTCACCAGAGGCTTTAAAGATGACATCTGTAATGCTATTGAGCACTGATTCCTTTAAGATACCTGACAGGAGCTTACCGTGAAGGGTGACAATGTAAGAGCAGAAAACTTTCCAAAGAGTGTTTCACATTTATGCTTTTTCGCTCAGCCTGAGATGAATTAACACTCTTAATGATTGGTAAATCTTCAAAGCCAAGCTAACTAAAGAACCTAAAGCATGGAGACCTCCCTATTACTTGGAGGTCTTGGTGCTTTATTAATATCCTACCCTAAAGGGGGGAAATCCACAGGGACAGTCTAATATTTCAGGAGGTGGTAGATAGGCTGCATGCAGTCCTGGGACCTAGGTTGCACTCTCTCATGGGGCGTGTTAGGGTTAGGGCCAGTTCTAGATGTTTTGGGGTCGTTAAAAGCATCAGAAAGCCAGGAAGCCCAGTCTTACCACCCTCTAAAATGTTTGACTGTTCTGTGACCTCATCTGGGGTAGGATATTAATAAAGTACCGAGGTCTTTAAATCTACATGGAGGACTTGCGCTCTATTTGAGAAGTAGGTTAGTGACATTGGCCAGGAAATGAAGAAGAAATGGTCTGTTATACCTTCTAAGTCCCACAATTGGTCAACTTATAGAGGTTCTACTGAATTATTAAATAATATGATTCTGTAAGAATCATTTTTTTAAAAATTCCATCCATCACCTATCTCTCTATCAATATTTAAATCAGTTAGGACTTATTTCCATTATTTCTTAATTTAGTTTTAAATTACACATGTTATTAAGTTGTGGTTTTATTATTTCAGAGAAGTATGGCAGCCCCAACAGAAGGAGCCAGAGTCGTGGCAAAAGGTAAGTTTGCCAGTTCTTCTCGAATTCCTTCATTGTCATAAAGACATCTGTTAACAGTTGTATAGAATTTGAATATTTTTATGTGTGGCATTAACTTTTCCAGTCCTAGAAGGTTTTTCAGCAGATGATCCAGGAACAAAAACATGTATATATTACTCAAAATGGCTACGTATAGGGGACTGACCTCCTGTGAAGCCAGGTTTCTTCAGAATGCTGTGACCAAATGTAAAAAGCAAGAGAATGTGTTACCTGATAATTGAGATTCACACACAATGCATTGATTGGAACTAAAAGATTTAAAAGGGTATGCCCCAACACAAGCAAAATAAAGTAAAATGTGCAGAGAACCCAAATATGAGTGTCTGAACTTATTTGGTCCCACCCATTTGTATTACCCCAATTTAACCCAGTTGTTACTTTAGCTCTTTATGTTCAACAGAGTAATGATTAAACTCATTTAGAAGAGCAGGAGGAGGGAGCAAGAGATTGAGTTTAGGCAGTGTAAAATGTTCTGGGAACAACCTGCTCATATTATTTATTTACACACATATGATTTGTGTTGAGAAATGCCTATCTTGACACCGGATGTCCCGTAAGTTCCCATACACAGGACACATAAATGTACAGTCAGTGGCCGCTTGTACTGGGAGAATATTTCAAATGACCACGCTTACCTATCCAAGCATCTGTAGACTACTGATCTAAACATTGACATGTTAATTTTTCTTTGTGTGGAAACTTATGGGGCAACCTGGTATTTACATAGGCAGACGTATGTATAATATGTACACACATGGCTGTTTTTTGTGTGTGTATATAAATAAAGTTGGGAAATGTTTAAGCGATGGGTCTTAGATGTAAGAAGGCTGTATATTGATCATTCTTCTTTTGTGAATGGGTGGGGTGGTTCTCTAAGGAAAGATGTGTAGTGTGGTCATCGTGTCAAGATTTGATGGCAGTGTTAAGCATACCGACATTACCTTTGTTTGGCGCTGCTGAAGTGAAGATAAACTTGTTTGGTAGCATACCTGAGGATGTCCATAAAATGTTCACAGAATTGATTTGCTGGCTTTCTGCCAGTTTAAAAGAATTATGACATAGATCTTTTAATATTACACAACTATGTTCACTCTTCACTGTTGTGATTTCTTCCTTTTTATAACATTGCTGGTCACTTTGGTACAACCGTTTGATATTTAGTAATGATTTATGTGTGTAATATTTTCTGTGAAACTAATTGATATTAAAAATATATTCTTTCACAGCCCCTTCTGCTAAATCACGACCCAGCTTTGCTGTTAACCCCAAACCTAATCCTTCATCCCATCAGAATGGCCAGCCAGATACAGGTCCAGCATCATCAGATTCTCGCAAATCTTTGGTGCCTACCTCCAACAACGCAGGTACAATTTTATCAGTTTGTTTTTAAAGTCATCGTCTCTTTCCACTTTTTTGTACCGTTAAGTGTGGGGAGGAATAGTTTGTGATCCAATTTTTGGTGGGTAGCAATGGCGATTGTCATTCCATATCGATGTAAAAGCTGTTTAATGTCATCCCTCCATCTTCTCCTAGGGCAACGTCTTGTTTTCACATCAGATCTTTTCATGTGTAAGTCCTGTGTTGGTAATTATTCTGGCTGCCTATTATTCTGGCTGCCTTCTATTGGGATGACCAAATGGTTTGATCTTCTATTTTTGAATGAATTCTCTGCATGTGTTGTTCCCACGGTATGATCATATCATTTCTCACTTTGTCTCCGATGGTCAGGTTGCCGGCTTTCTCAATCATCTGATTTCACAGTTATTAATTTTACGTAGGTTAGCCTTTGAAAACGTCCCAGTTTGGCACTAGTAGCAAAGCGTTTGTATGGGGTGCACTCTGACTTTGAAGGGAACACCCCAGCTAGTTAGTTGGCTGTTACGACATGCTTGTTGGGAGAGAGAGGTTTGAAAATCTACCCAAAGTGATTTAGGATCTTCGCCGGTGCTACAGAGTTTGTGCACTGCGCTGAGATTCTTTGGACTCAGGCTTGAGTCAGAAGTAAAATGGAGCATTTATGGGTTACAACCCTTGTGCCAGGATGTTGATCTGTCATCCAAACCCATTACCTGAATCTGTTACTCAGTTTTAACATACATTAAAATTAAGAGATGCTTTGTTAAACATGCATTGAGAAAAACAGATTGGGGATTGATTTGCTATCATTCCTGTAGAATTGTTTGCTTACTTATAAACTAAGACTAATTGCTGAATTTATCAGTCTGCTCACTGAAGTATTTTACAATCCAGCACGGAGGAAATCCAACTGCGTAAAGGAGGTAGAAAAAATTAAACAGAAGCGTGATGACAGACGTGCTGCCCACATGGCCATCAAAGAACAATATGAGAGCCACTTCGACACTAGTGATCCGAACTGGGAATTTCTAGCCATGATCAAGTAAGATTTTATTAGTGTTACCTAGAATGTGTGAATGCCTAATACACCCAATCCCCATGGCAGTTTTGGCCATAGGACGGGTTGTTTTTAATGTAGAGTTGTTTTATATGGGTAACTACTTGATGCTTGTACTGAACATTTGTTTAAAGGTTAAACTCAAGAGGATCAGCTTCATTGCACCGGGTTTATCCAACGTGGCTCAGTCTCTCTGTGTAGAATCGCCAGCTACCTGCTAAGAACGTTGCACAAGGCACAGCAATATAGCTCCAGTAAGGATTTCCCTGGGATGTCTGTAAAAATTGTACCTGTGAATTGATAGACGCAGCCGGGAAACAAACCCTGAAGAATGTGTGGCAACTAGTTTGTCCGCTTTGTCACGGAGACCCCTGTTTACTGTTTGTGAAAACATTAATGGGATAGTCGAAACATAACTGTTCAGGTTCAGTTCTTTCAAATCACACATGGAACTTAGGAAACCACAGTAGTGTAGCCCAGGATTTTTCAACTGTTTAATCGTAGGCCAAAATGTTGAAAATGGGGATCGTCACTGCCAGATGCCTAAGCCCCAGTGTAGAAATGTAATTAATACAATACAGTTGGCAGTGATTTGCTAAGCCTCTATGGGCCGCCGGTTGACTAGCCCTAGTGTAATGGCTACTCCCTCGCCTGATGGTCTAGGGTTAAAATATGCATCGGGGCTGATTTTTTCTTTTGAAAATTTTCCTTGGCTACCAGTTAAACCTAATCTAAATTAAGTGCCAGATAATGTCCTGGGAAGTAAAGGTGCTGGAATTGTGTTCGTTACGTTACCTATCAGTGGTAGATTGGTCTATAAAAATATAGGTCTAGCACCATGCCCCACTTTCCTCTTTTCATATCTATTAATTACTCCCTTTTAACATTATAATTTTAGGGCGCAGTCAATAGGAGACTTGCTTTCAAATCCAGCTGCGATTTGCTGCAGCCCGCGGCCGGTTTTCAAAACTTGACGGTTCCTGGGGTTCACCCAGCCTCTAAGAAATGGGTACCAGAGTTAGACTCTGGGGTAAATGGAGGAATGTCGCTGTAGCTTCAGAGTTTAGTGCAGACCTCGACACAGACTGACAGTTTCTTATCAGATGTCCATACTGGTGGCAGGGCACTTATGGTTTATAACCATGTGTAGTGATGCTGGTTCACATATCCCAACTCTACCGTTTATTATAATTTCAAAGAATATTTAAAAAAAGTAATTTAAAAAAAAAAATTTTTTTAAAGAGATCTATGTAATAAGATTTTTTAAAGACATCTATGTTACGTGATTTTTTTTAAAAGAGATCTATGTTACATGATTTTTTCTTTAAAATGATTTTTGAGAACATTATCATATGTTTTTCTCCCAACGGTTTCTAGTTCAAAAATTTTTACGATGGTTAATTAGCAATGGGGGGAGCTTAACCCAAATTGCCAGTTGTAATGTGTCGTAAAAGTATGTTACTTGCAGAAAAAAAACAAAATAGTTGACCAGGTAGCTCTAAATATGTGGGCTTTTTTTTAAATCAATGCTGTAAAAATATGTAGTGTATTTTACATTTCTATTGCAATATTTTCTGTGTGGGATTTCGTATTTCTTTGCTCTTACTTTTCGACTAATTTATAATGTGTGAGCTTTTTAGCTTTCAGTTTAATAATCCCCCCCCCCCCCCCCCTTTTTCTCCCCCCAACTGCACCTCAGAAGTGCTTGAGTACAGAATAAAATCTATAGATTATATATAGTTATTACATAGTTAGCTGGCTTCTCTACTAGTTCTTATTCTTTTAAAGCATGCCACTAAGAAATTGACATAAGAGTGTGTTTAGTAGATTTGTTTTGAATAATGCCAGTGAGAAATTGCATTTGTGTAGTTTCTCTGTTTAGTAGATTTAATTGTTTTAAATCATGGCAGTGAGAATTGAAATGTAAGATTTATCAAGTAAGTTTAGCCATTGAGAAATATACAAGAGTTTTCGTTTGGTAGGTTTAATTGTTTTAAATCGTCCCGTAAGACATAAACATAAGAGAAGTCTACCTAGTCAGTTTAATTATTCTAAATTATACTGGTAAAAAATAAACATTGTCAAGTGGATTGGTAACTTCTGGCATTTTGAAATCAGAAAGTACAAAGCCATAAAGATTAGAGATGATTACATAGCTACTATTACAAAAACCTGGCATGCATTGTAACAACTTGTCATAGAAATTCAAAGGAAATGACAATGGACAGTAGAGGGACAGGACATTACATGGTCTGACCTAGGGAAGAATAGTATATTTTAATAAACAGTATTGGAGAATGTTGGTTGTGAAGGCTTGTGATTGTCATAACTGAAAACAATAAGAGATTGGGTGATTGATTTGGGCACTTGTTGATTTTTCTCAGAGACTTCAGAAGCAATTTGGAGTACCGTCCCATTACAACATCTGACTCCCCAGAAAATCATCAAATTTGTGTATGTGTGAGAAAAAGACCTCTGAGCAAAAAAGGTAATGCTGTTTTGTTAATAATGCACACCCTGTTACCAATGGTGTTGATGGATTGGGGTGAGATCATAAAATAATTTAGACGTCTTCATCTGCATTCACTACTAAAAGGGTATTTGGGGCATTGTTTTGGGGGTTTACAGCTTCATTGTGATATCTGTTCCTGTCAGCGTGTGTAACTGATCTCATTTTGACACTCTTAATTAAACACTTTTTACCATAGGTAATAAGTCTCCACCCCCCAGACTGGGTTTTCAGAACTCACATAGGAAACAAATAATTTGGTGATATTGAAAAATTACAAGCAAGAACAAATTATGTGTGGACGTTTTTACTTTTAAATGAGCTCCAACATTTTTTTTTAAATTATTTAAAAAAAAAAAAAACATCTGTGGAAAGAAACACAGGATTCATTTTCAATAGTTTCAATCTCTGAATGCTTCAGCTTTTTCTTTTCCTTGAATAACTGGGTTGTTTTTGTCAAATAATTGTATAGTATAACCTTTCTTTAAACAAGTTTGTTTGTTGTGAGCTTGCATTTTTAATACTGCATTTTTTTTTTTTTTCAAATAAAAAAATTCAACAAATGAGAATTAAATTTAAAGAAAAACGACTAATAAGATAGAGACATCTCTGGGCAGTGGCTGGTATCAACAGTTATAGGAAAGAAAATGATGACATACTTAGCAGAAGTGAACACAGTAAATCACAAAACAGACACCAGAAAACTAATAGATTGAGGAAGTGAGGACGTCCAAAAAGGATCCCCACTACAAATGTTGATGGCAAGATGTATTAAACCCGATTTTTCGCGGTGGTATCTAAAGAAAAGATCAGACTGGAGGAATCATTTGTGAATCATAAATGATGAATGTGTCAATGACACAACTGGATGGGAATAGTTTTAGTCAGTTTGTTAACTAACATTTTCATTTTAAAAGTATTTTAAGTGGTAAGTAATCACAGTTTGATATTTACCTTTTATCATCTGAATTATTATTATTACTCTGTCTTTTTCTGAAATGCACAGAGATGGGCAGGAATGAAGCTGATGTGATAACAGTTCCCAACAAAGAGAATGTGATAGTTCATGAGCCCAAACTCAAAGTGGATCTCACGAAGTACTTAGAAAATCAACAGTTTCGGTTTGACTACGCTTTTGACGAACATGCATCTAATGACATTGTTTACAGGTATGGTAGGAGTCATTGTTTCATATTGCATTTGTTAAATTAAGTTTAAAAACTTTATTATTACGTTATCCTTATTGTTGACATTGACAAATGGCCGCCCTAAGAGAACATGGGTTGTTGACATTAAAGAGCTTCTACATCGATACGGAATGACAATAGCCAATACTGACCATCAAGCAAAAGATTGCAAACTGTTCCTCCCCACAATGCTTAATGGCAGAAGTGGAAATTGAAGTCGATGATGATGGCGTTCTCGATTGGGCTTTCTCTCGCTTGTTGAGTTCTCTGAATTATTTGCCCTCCCAAGATACCTCTATTGACTGTTCCCAGATGAAGTTGATTTTAATGTCACCTTGAAGATAGCACAGATATACCTCGCCATTCTTCACCTGAATCCTGAAGTTGATTTAGCGTCAGAAAATCGTCATTATCCACATCAAGACAAAATGTTTAAAACATGATTTTCTTGTTTATAATGTAAGGAGATACTTTCCAAAGTAAGACTGATGTGTGGATGATTTATTGAACTGTTACTGAATCCTTGAGTGAACACCATATAGGACCACGAAGCTCAGAATATTTTTGCACAGATGCAAGCACTCATTTTTGACCTCAGTTTAAGTTAGTAACTTAGTTGATCAACCGTCCACATTGGACAAGTCCGTAAGCGCTCAGATCCTATCTTTAGTATCTGCCTCAGTGTGTGGCGACTGATAAAACAAGTTCTTTTTTGGTTTACTGTTCTTCCTTGGCTACCTATATCATGTTCATCTCTGGCGACACCCCTTTTGACATAAAGTTTTTCTAGTCTTGTCAAGATTACCGATCACCATCTCCTGAATCATCTATTCATCCTGCCTCTAAGAGAGTATTTGGAACATTGGCACTGTCCATTGCTTTTCCTGTGCCTGCTGTGGCCCTGCTAGTTAGCCAGTTTGCTCAATCATTCCCTTTTCATTTTGTCAACAAACAAAACCTAGAATACTTAACTAACAAACAGAAACCACAATAAGCAGTAATCCAGACGATGAATAAACAAGCCCACAAAATGGAAATGTGAGGATGGGTGTTAAGACTAAAGTGACAAAATTTATGTGTTTTTATTTTGCCACATAAGCTTCACTTTAAAGAAATTTTTAAAAACATCCTTGTTGTCCAGGTACACAGCACAGCCCCTTGTTGAATGTATATTTGAAGGTGGAATGGCCACTTGTTTTGCCTATGGGCAAACAGGTAGTGGTAAGACACATGTAAGTCACTGCCTCCTTGTTGATGTAATTTTATGTTGTTAGCCAGTCCATGGGGGATTTTTCAGCATGCTATCCCATTGACTGAAATAAAAGGATGATTGGCTGATTGTTTCTGACATCTCAAACGTTGTGCATTTAATACTAAAGTGGCTTTATCAGGATGCAGAAAAAAAAAATAAGATGATGTCTTTGACGAAATGCTTAGTGGAGGCATTTGGTCATCCCCTCCATGAGGATGCGGAACTAACTCAGGGATTGTGGATACTTAAAGAAGAGAATTGGGAATCAGATTTTAAATAGATAGCATGCTGAAGTCCTTTAGGAGTTAAAAAGGTTAGTCATATTCTAATGCAGTAGCATTAGTTGATCGTCTATAAAGTTAAACTGTTTAAAAATAATACAACATGAAGGAATCTTTTAATTTTGTTTGCTTTTAATTTGAGATTGCATAATATGTTAAAACTCAGTTATTTAATTTAAAAAAAAATTATCTTATTGATATTGAAGTAATTATGTCACTGTTTACTTACATAAGGCAAAGCTGAAGTCGATTAGGTTGACTTCTCACACAAAAGTTTTATCCCATATCACTAGCCGTCTGCCGAGACTGTTGCAGAGCACGACCTCTAGTTGTGGTGGTGATCCTCAGAGACCTGTAAAAATAGCACTCATAAGCCAAATTGTGCAGCCGGTTAATGAACCCATGACCTTCATAGCACAGAGTAAACATCTTGATAATTTCACCATGTAGATTCCCCATCGGTGAAATGTCTGTAATCATCTTCAAACCCTCTCTCTAGCCAACTGAACGAGATTTTCTGTTTTCTGAAATTTAAGAATATTGCTTTTAAACTTCCTTACAGACAATGGGTGGTGATTTTTCCAGTAAGGGACAGCAAGACTGTTCAAAAGGGATCTACTTGTTAGCAGGTTTGTTGCAATGTACTTTACTTCTCATGACCAGATTAAAGGATAATTAGTGTCCAAAGCATGTGAAAATGTATGGCTGAATATCATTTGTGTGTGCTTTCATCCGGCTTTATTGTTACCTTGTTTGTTTTTAGTTTCAGATGGTTGTATTACTTTACTGTAGTAGGGATGACTAGTGAACTGGTAATTTCTCATATTGTATTCAGTGACTTTTTAAAAGCTGTCTTGTTGTACTGAGACAAGTTACAAAGTCAGCAAATTATTGAGAAATTATGTTTTCTGTATGTGTTCTGGGGCCCACTGGTGTGCTTAGGACAAGCATGTGGCAAAAAGGCAACTAATATAAAATTTGTCAAAACTGGCCAAAAAGTGCAGATATCACAGCCTAGCTGTAAACCTTGACAACATGAAAACCTGGCATTTCTGATAAGGTACATTTCACTGGTATTTCTACAGTGGTTTTTATGAGACATTTAGTTACTGCCATTGGCTGTATATTGCACCTGTGCAGCATTTAGGGGGGTCAAGATATTAATTTATTTACTAAAAATAGCACTGGGGGGGGGTTTGTTATTGGGAACACTGCTTTTTTTTAAAGCTATGTTGTCAGATTTCCCCTGTAGCTTCTGGGGTAGAGGTCATGGCATAAGTCACCTGATTCATACTTATTTTAGCCCTTCTGAATGAAATCCTTATAATGCTGCACCATGTTTATGTTTATTTATTAATTACTTTCTAAAAATATATAAAAATATCAGTGAATTATGTTTTTAAAAAATGTAACTTTCCCCCTGCAAATTCTCACAGTTTCATGCTCATTGTTTTGCATGCGATCGGGGAATGAATACTTTAGTGGCACCATTTTCCTCACTATGTTGTAACATACACATAGTGGTACCTGGAATTAGAACATATCTGCTTCCTCAAGACAGCATTCAAATTCCAAATCGTTCCAGTTCCAAGGCAGTTTTTCCCCATTGAAAATAATGGAAACTAAATTAATCTGTTCCAGGGCCCAACAAACTCAAATTTTTAAATTGTGTTTTCCTAAATATAGTATAACACGTGATGATCATATTTGAAAACATACATAAATAAATTAATTTTAAAAAATGTGTGAAAATATTGTATTTACTGTACCTTGATCCAAAAAGGGGACCTAGAACATTTCTGGTGTGTCATATGAAAATGGTTCAAAACTTGTAGAGGGTTTGGGGTTACTAGTTTTGAAGCCAGTCTTCCAAAGTGCTCTAATGTTGGCAATCATTTATATTTTTTCTAAAATGTTTGATAGTTATCATTAAATAAGTTAACACACCAGTTAACTAGGGCTCTATCAGGGTGCCACCCCTCAACAACTTCTTACATTGTAAAAATATCTTGGGTTTCAGCTGTGCTAATCTTACCGTTTTCCACCTCTTCCTCTCTGGAAGAAATTTCTTATGCTGTTTCTTCCTTCTGCTGCTGGTGAAAGTGATGAACCTCTAGCTTTTTTAGTTCATTTGCCCGGTTAGCACATGGCAGAGATTGTTTCCAATGCTGTATTTGAGTTCCGGCGCAAAATTTACTTGGTAATTGTTTTTTTTAAGGGTTTCAAGTTTGTTAAATTTTTGAGGCATTCGAATTCCTAGGTACCACAGTATATATGTCTCCCATTTGTTTCACATGCTGTTTACTCTGTGCTTCTAAATAAAAATAGTCTAAACTGTTTTTCTAAATCTTTTGCCATGTTTTTTTTTCTTTCAGCGAAAGATGTTTTCAGATTGTTAAATTCAAAGTACAAGAAATTAGATCTGGTGGTTGGGGCAAGCTTTTTTGAAATCTACAGTGGAAAGGTATGATTATTTTAACCAGCTGATATTGCTAGTAAATAGTTTGATCTTGTCGTAGCGAGCACTTTGTTGAGTGTTGCCAGTGCTAGCAAATTATACACAAGGAAATCAGATTTTTTACTCACAAAAAACTCAAGGAGTGCATCACCTTGATTCCTAAAAGCGCAGCCATTGATAAACGGGTTTGGTTTAAAAAAATGCAGCTGTGTCCTGCATGAGACTATTTTTAAAGTTGAGTCCAGTACCAGAGCATCGCATGCTGACTTTATTTATGGAAGCCTCCTTGGCAAAGACTACTCATCTACTGCTACTGCTTACGATTGAGGACTCAACAGCATGAATGTGGCTGTTCTGGACGGTAGTGGTATGATGCCCCATCTGTAGATAAAACAGCAAAGAATTAAAAATCCGAATTCCTGGACAATTAGGGCCCTATGGGTAATTAATAAGGGTTGCTAATTTAACTAACTAACACTGTCTCAGCTGTGATGAAGCCTGCTGAGAACTCATCATTTTACAAACTTCAAGTCTCATAGCAATGCTGAGGGTAGACAGAAAGCACCCCATCCTTGCACTGCTGCTTAAAGACTTTGTATGCAATTAAAAATGAGTGGTCTTTATGCCTACTGGAATTAAATTTAGCCATTGCCACTACCCATATTGTCTGTTTATTAATGATGCCCATTGGGAAAGTGGAGAATAGTAACACTGCCCCCCCACAAAGCATGTTGTAAGAGGCACACAGGGCTACCCCATCCCATAGAAAGCCTCAGCCACTAAAGCTGCAGTGGTGTATTGGCTAAATGCTGGCCTGTCAGCCCAATGATCTAGGGTTACAATCCACAACTAGGTGCATTTTAGTTGAACTTTGCGCCTAGGATGACTCAGCTTATAATGGATACTAGATAATATTCTGGGGAGTAAAGGCAGTCAGAATAATGTGGGTCATCAAGTGCTGATTGGTTTATAAAAATATAGATCTAGCACTATATGCTCCATTAGCCAAAGGTGTGAAAAGAGTCCTTTACAGAAGCTAATGAGGTGGTTGAGGGCCTATTTGTCATTGGAAGATAAAAGGCTGAAAAATGTCTACCAAAATTCTTCATCATGTTAGAGTAAAAATATCAGCATCAGGACTCAGACAACAATTCCTATCCTACATTGCTGTTTGACTGCCAGTTATTTAATTATTCTCTCTACCCCTTCCCTGGGTGATTTTATTAGTAACCATGAGTTTTGTGTTTAAACAGGTATTTGATCTCCTGAATGAAAAAGCAAAATTGAGAGTTCTGGAAGACCACAAGAACCAGGTGCAAGTGGTGGGGCTGAGAGAAGAAGCTGTGACCAACACAGAGCAGGTCCTACAGCTGATTCAGCACGGAAACAATGTTAGGTGAGTTCATGCTTGAAAATCTTTCATTTTAACTGCAAGCTGGATCATGCATGATGAATTATTTGCGAGTGGTTTTACAAGCTGGAATTATACAAACTAATGCATCCTGCTATTGGAATTAACTCATTTGGTCCCTACCAGTGCTTGATATAAGATTGAATCCCAAGCTGATCTCAAGTGTTTCCTTCTTTTGAATCCAAGCTGTGAAGGGTTGATTCTTCCTCTTGATTGCCAACCAGTGATTTACATGATTGGCTCTTCTTCTTTTCGTCCGAGTGATGTAAATGCAGTGTGTCTGTTTACAGCAGAACTGCGATATTTTAGCTTTTTGGCCAACACACCCATCTTCATCTAGCATTTATTGACCGGAATAACTTTCCAGATAGTTTCGTGGGACAGGGGACATGTTGTGGCCTTATTTGTGTTGTGTTCACTTTGTCCTCTTTTCTTTGGGTCTTGCCCCTGGAGATTTCGGGGGGGGGGAGTTCATTCCCCACTATCCAAGTAGGCTTCCATGAAGGCACATGACTCTGGTCCTGGGCTCACCCAAGGAATCGTCACGTCCTGCACATGACTGCTTAACCTCACATCTGTATATTGAGCTTTCTAATCATCACAGGCTGCACCCTCTGGGGATCAGCAGGGAGCAGCCTGCAGTTCCGGGTCTTTGATGGCTACACAAATAGGTATATTTTTCTTTAGCAAGAGTATCGCAAGGCATGCATCTGGCATGGCTCCTCCTTTTAGGTCCCACACACTGGCAAGTGTGGTAATTGTCATGTGAACCTTTCTGCCAGTTAGAACTTTTTTGGGTCGGACATTCTAGACCAGTGGTTCTCAGCCTATGGGTTGCAACCCTTTTTGGGTAAACGATCCTTTCACATTGGTCACCAAAACAAATATTCATTGAAGTTATGAAAATAATTGTATGGTTGGGGGGTCACCACAACATGAAAAACTGCAATAAACTGTCGCAGGATTAGGAAGGTTAAGAACCACTGTTCTAGTCTGTGTTTTTGTGCCAGACGGACATTTATGTCAGACCAGCACACTGACATTGGCAGATTTTTGTGTACCTCAACGCCTTGACGCCGTCATTGAGGAACAGCAAGGGATGTACGGACTGTTCTACGAGTTACCGCGTTCAAGAGATGTTTGTCAAGGCTGTGAGCAAATCTCGTGTTTTAGGGCTGAGTTTTGTGTACCTCAACGCCTTGACGACGTCATTGAGGAACAGCAAGGGATGTGTGGACTGTTCTACGAGTTACCGCGCGCAAGAGATGTTTGTCTAGGCTGTGAGCAAATCTCTTGTTTTAGCGCTGAATCTGAGCAGTACAGTAGTTCTTCCCGCTTGTCAAATGTTTTAACCGCGGGTTGTCATTGACTAGTAGTATGTTCGGCTAGCATATTTTCCCCATGATCAAAACGAGCTTTGGTAGATGTTTACACCCATGCATTGAGGGTGGGCTGATGTGAGCCAGACTGATCACTACATCTCTAGAACCTTTTCCCATGGCATGCGATGTGGACGTGAGGCATAAGTCTTGCGTCTTGCGAAAAAATCCATAAAATCGTCCCAGAGCTGGCTGGTGCCTGAGGTAAGGTACCGAGTAACTCCTTATACACGTCACAACGGCCTTAACATTCTCTCATGCTTATGATCGATATCAGTGCACTGTGGCTCTTTCTCTTGATTCTCAGGCAATTCTTGCTGTGGATATAGTTTCTTCTCCTAAATCCCAGTGTGCCTTAGGTCTTTCCAGTTTGATTATCATACTACTTTATTGCAACAGTTATTTATTTCAAGTTCATATGTTTTTGTTGAGTGTAGTAATTATGTATAGGCTGCCTGGTTATTTAAAAAAAAAAAAAAAAAAAAATTTTTTTTATGTTTCAACCACAGGACATCCGGACAGACGTCAGCAAACCAGCACTCATCTCGCTCTCATGCTGTCTTTCAAATTATTCTACGACAAAGGTACAGTAGTATTATTGGTCACCTGCATTTCATTATAAGTGAAATTATTAACGCTTAATTTTATTCTCTGTTAGCTATCACCAGCTTCTAAGATTAGTTAAATATAACAGTTTACCATAAGAAATATAACTTAAATGACAATCCTGAGAACTTGAAGCATTCATATGTGAGTCGGGGACAATTTTATGATCACTAAATGAGAAAATTTAGAGTTGTGGATTTAAATATTACAGGAGTATCAAGGACCAAGAAGAGGAGAAATACTGACAGTCATCAATATCTAAACATATAGTTCTGTTTTCAGAAACTGAACTACTTTAGCTGTTGGAGAGTTTTGTTGTTGTTAACAAATAACACTATATTTATTTAGAGAAAAAAAGAATTTAACATTCAGACCAATAGCTGTTGGTTTAATATCTTACTCATGTGCCCAAAATACCTGTGCAATTTTCACACTTTTCTAGTGTCATTTTGATTACATTTGTTTTTGTGTGTGTGTGTGTGACAAGCCCAAAATACCTGTGTAATTTTCACACTTTTTCTAGTGTCATTTTGATTACATTTAGGTGTTGTTATTTTTTTCTGTGACACCATCATTATCATAGTCCCATAACACCACACGGCATTGGATCACCACTTGCTGTTGACTGAACAGTTCCTCCACGTCTGTCGGTCTGAAGCAGTGGAGTAGTAGTAGTAGATTTTACCCCACCAGGACATCACACTAGTGATAAACACCCGATGACACAAAGTGCCGCCATGTGGATGAGGATCACCCGTGGAGAGGTCCCAGAACTTGCGTTCAGCCATTAGACCATATTTATGGTTTGCCTTTATTGCAGCCCCTGGCAAGAGCCAGGATGGGGCTTCAAGATAATGAAAAATTGCATCTCACAAGGTGATAACTAGGTCAAGCAGTGGACTTGGCTTTTATTTGTTTCAGGCCTATCCTTTCGGCCTAATTCTGTATCCAGGTCTTTCTTTGAGCCCTATAGAACCATTTTGGAGAGGCTGGCAGATCTTGTTACATGTCTGTACCATTGCATTTTCAGTCTTTTCACTTTTCTTCTTTGTGATAACCAGCTGTTGGAGTTATGGTTCTTTGTCCACTGATTTTGTTACAGAACTGGAGCTTTCCGTGCACATCCAGTTAACAGATCTTGCTTAATTATTTTGCAGACTTGCTTGCTCCCCTCTAAGGCAGATGCATTCTGACTTGGAATGAAATGCTCCTAGCTAATCACCTCCTATAACATTCTTGTTTGCGGGGGCAGTGACTCTCTTCTCTTTTTCCCCATAATGGGGTTCCAATACACACAGGGAAAGAGAAGTTCAGTCATTATACTGAGTGATGTTATGATGTACTTAATCATTTATAATGTGGTCTTAGTAGGATATACCGACTGATCTTAAGGTCTTATTTCTAGTGCTTGTATTTGTTTGTTTTCATCTTAATAAAGTTCGTTATATTTTTTTTATAAAATTATCTTAGCATATTGTGAACTAAACCTTTTTTTTTTTCAGAGTCCGTAATAAAATTCATGGAAAATTTTCTCTCATTGACTTAGCAGGTAAGCTATAGTTTCAGTTGTGGGAAAATTGTCACTCGTTTTGATTTTTATTTATGCAGCAACATCCCTATTTTTTTTTTTTTTTTTTTTTTTTTTTTTTTTTCACTAAATACTACATGCTAAGAACTTATTTATGGGTTAAACAGTTAAAGAACATAGTCATGTCCTATGTTTTGCAGTGTATTGGATATGTATACTGAATTAGCTTTGTATTTTTTGTGGATAAATCTGGCACTAGAGGTGATGTGGTCAGTATAGCACTAACAGCCTTTGCTTTCCAGAATATTTCCTAGTATCCATTTCATATTGGCAACCCAGATGATTCTTTTTTGTTGTGTTTCAGTACAACACATAACTAGCACATAAAACCCGCCATCTTTCTCTGTCTTCCGCTTGATGAATAGGTGTAAGATAACTTAGTTCTGTCCATTTCTTTGCCCTCTTCTTCTTCAACTACCTCTCAGTGTTCCTTGAAACACAGTCTTTGCTATTGAATCATATCTCACCACATGCCCAAACCAAGCTAGCTTGCGACATTTCACCACTGCAAAGAGAGGCTCCCTTTACCCTGAATACAAAAACATTGTTGCTTTTGAATGATTCCTAGTCTGCTCTGCTTCAGTTGTGTTGGAGTGGAGTAATGATTTGCTCTAATCTGATGTCATGTTTTCTAGATTTTTCTTCAGAAAGGTCTGGCTGTGCCTGTAGCACATGTAGTTTCCAAGTTGGTGAGGCAGTTCTTGAACCCCCTCCCCCTTCCTTCCCAAAGAATCTTTTGTGTATATTGAATTTATGTATGTGGACTTATGTATACTTTGCATAAATACTCAACAAGTAAATACTACAGTAGGCTGCATTTCTTTCCTTGAGGGCAGTGCCTTTTTCTCGGTGGGGTTTTCCTAGCTAGTTGAGAGTAAAAATCTCTACCTCTGAACACATGGTTAGACAATAGGCTTTACCAGTGGCGCATTGCACACCAGCCACCTTTATTTCCCATGACATTACCTGGTACACATTTTATGCTGGGAGCCGGGCTCAGTTTTTAATTTTTTTAAATTTGCCGCGAAATGGATTGGAACACAATAACTTGGGGCCAGCAGTCAAGTGTCTATCAACTACGCTACCTCAGCTTCCAAAAGTGTCATTGCCCTGTTATAATGGCCAGTGCCATTGTCCTATTATAATGACCAGTGCCATTGTCCTATTATAATGACCAGTGCCATTGTCCTATTATAATGACCAGTGCCATTGTCCTATTATAATGACCAGTGCCATTGTCCTGTTATAATGACCAGTGCCATTGTCCTATTATAATGACCAGTGTCATTGCCCTGTTATAATGGCCAGTGCCATTGTCCTATTATAATGACCAGTGCCATTGTCCTGTTATAATGACCAGTGCCATTGTCCTGTTATAATGACCAGTGCCATTGTCCTGTTATAATGACCAGTGCCATTGCCCTGTTATAATGACCAGTGCCATTGTCCTGTTATAATGACCAGTGCCATTGTCCTGTTATAATGACCAGTGCCATTGCCCTGTTATAATGACCAGTGCCATTGCCCTGTTATAATGACCAGTGCCATTGCCCTGTTATAATGACCAGTGCCATTGTCCTGTTATAATGACCAGTGCCATTGTCCTGTTATAATGACCAGTGCCATTGTCCTATTATAATGACCAGTGCCATTGTCCTATTATAATGACCAGTGCCATTGTCCTGTTATAATGACCAGTGCCATTGTCCTGTTATAATGACCAGTGCCATTGTCCTATTATAATGACCAGTGCCATTGTCCTGTTATAATGACCAGTGCCATTGTCCTGTTATAATGACCAGTGCCATTGTCCTATTATAATGACCAGTGCCATTGTCCTGTTATAATGACCAGTGCCATTGTCCTATTATAATGACCAGTGCCATTGTCCTGTTATAATGACCAGTGCCATTGTCCTATTATAATGACCAGTGCCATTGTCCTATTATATCAGATTATTCTGTCCAAATGCTGATGTGGATGAATTTTATATATATGTGTGTACACATGTTTAGTTCTACAGTGCTATTATAATTCAGATAAAGGCAATGGAAAGCCATGTTATTTTTCCAAGACAAAAGATACTGACAAGTCATATAGGTAGATGTAAGGAAGTGCATGTGTAAACTAGCTAGATGTATGGAAGTGCATGTGTAAAACTATTGGCTTTGTCAGGCTGTTTATTCCCCCCCCCCCCCCCCCCCCCCCCCCCCCGCAATGGACATTGTTGGGCATTCCGTTTGGCTTTTACTGGCACAGAATGGGGCAACTATAGGGTGACCTGTTTGTTGTAGCTGTGATTAACTGTATGTTTCTGCTTTAGGTAATGAACGTGGAGCAGATACTTCAAGTTCTGACAGAAATACAAGGATGGAAGGAGCAGAGATCAACAAAAGTCTTCTTGCTCTCAAAGTAAGTGTACTGAAAATGCATATATGTCTCTGCGTACATAGCAGAAGTGGTGAATAAAGGCAGTAATTGGCAGTTGGTTGTGTAGAACCTGAGTTGGTGGAAGGGATTACCTGAAGTAGGGTGACTGACAGCAGAAGATGTGCAGGCTTCATTTGGTTCTGGTTTAGGGTCATTTTCATTGTGCATAAGTGCTAGTTTCCTCACATACATCATAAAGAGAATTAAAGTACAGTGTATGAACGCCAAAACACTGGTAAGGGTCCAGAATATCACATGAAATGTGTTTTACTTATTGGTCATCTTGTTAGAATGCAGAAAGGACAGATACCAACAGAGGTGCTACACATGAGAAGATTTAATGTGAACGTAAGAGATCGCCTTAAGAGAAGATGGATTGATGAAATCAGAGAACTTCTACATCATCACGGAATGACAGTAGCTATTGCTTCTTATCAAGCAATGGATCGCAGATTGTTCCTACCAACAGCGCTTAATGGCAACAGTCGAAATTGATTATGGGTTGTTTTAATAATGAAACAGAAGTATATTTTTTCATAAGTCATTTTCTATTTAATTACATTGTAATAAGGAAACATCTTGTATAATTTATTTTGGTTTTTATGCAGTATTCCCAAGAAGATATATTTACCTTTTTGTGATATGTAATGTGTTAATAAATTCATCTTCGTCTTTATACTGTTGTGCCATGTATACATCACACAGGGCTCTCTCACTTATTGCTCCATTCCTCTCTGGAATCCATTCGGCACCTCTGATCTCTCACACCATTTGTCGTTGGGTTTCTTGGGTGTCTTTCAGTGCCTTCGTTTTCCATTTTTCTGTCTGTTTTAGGATTCTTTGTCTGCCCCCCCCCCCCCCCCCTTTTCTCTCTCTCAGAAGGTGTCCAATATATTGCCATCTTCTTTCGTTTATAACTGTTGATACCAGTGGCTGTCCAGACCTGTCTTTGATTTGCTAGTGTACATTAAGTCATAGCAAAAGTATTTTACCTAACATAAATCGTTGTGTATAAGTCAAGCTTTCAAGCTTAAATTTGTTAAAAACTAGGGGTTGACATATGACTGTATAAAATGTATTCATCATCATCAGGTGCCTTGCTGACTGGCATAGGCGATCATGCCTCTCCATAATCTGCTATCTCCTGCAGCATGTATCAGTTCGGGTGCCGACACACCTCCATGCCATACAACAAGACTGTCAAGAATCTTCTCTCCTCTATCCCTTTTTCCACAGATCTTTCCAGTGGTCACAGCATGTTCTATTTTCCCTCTTCTCATAACATGGCCGAAAAATGATGACTGTCTCCTTCTGATGTCTGTGATAAGTTGTCTTTGGGCTCCCGCCTCTTTCAAAACCTCTTGGTTGCTCTTTTTGGCTGTCCAAGGTATTCTAAGCATTCTTCTGTAAAACCACAAAATTGTTTGGCCTGCCTACCGATTGTCCAGTATTCACATCCATATGTTAAAACTGGATGTATGTAGCAAGCAAGAATTCTTTTTCTAACTCTCAATGACAAGGATATATTGCACAAGATGTTTTTCATTTTATAAAATGCAGTTTTTGCCTGTCCAATTCTGTTTCTTATTTCAGTTATGCATCTTCCATCTGATGTTATCCATGTACCCAGATACTTAAATTTCTGTACTTGTCCTAAAATAAAACCATTGACTTTTATTACACATTTAGGAATAATTTGTTTCTTTGATACCACAATAACTTCTGTCTTCCCATTATTCAAACTAAGGCCCATTCTTCCACTTTCTAACACCACAATGTCTATCATTTCCTGTAATTCTTTCTGACTTGTTGCTATCAAGACTGTGTCATCAGCATAACGTAAATTGTTTATATTGTGCCCACCATCCACAATTCCGGGCATATCAATTAAAGATCTCATTATATATTCACTTTATATTGTAAACAAATCAGGTGACACTACACATCCGTGTCGTACACCCCTCTTTATGCTTTGAAATGTACCTAAACAGTTGTTTATTCTTATAGCTGCTGTTTGCTGCCAATACATATTCTTTATTATTCGTAGATCTTTCCCATCAATGTTTATATTTTATATTTATATAAAATGTATTAGGTAGGTATAAACCTGATCCTGAATTTTGAGATAAACATCTTGAAGTCAGATTGTATGTCTTAATTTATGCAATATATTTTTCTTTTACAGGAGTGCATAAGAGCATTAGGCAGAAAGGGTGCACACTTGCCTTTTCGAGCTAGTAAACTAACACAGGTGTTGAGAGATTCTTTCATTGGGGATAAATCCAGAACCTGCATGGTGAGTTATCAACACAGGTTTCTATGTAGGCATTAAATACAGTTAGCAAAAAAAATTGTATATGTGGTAATCGTCCAGCGAGCGATAAAATGCATAAACATTTTCATAAAGGCTATTTGTTTAAAAAACGTCATCATTACATGACATATTCCGTCTATTTAGATTGGATTACAGTATCTATGTGTTGTATTAGCGTTATGTAAAGTGTCTGGAGGTTAATGGAAATCAATTTAGGCGACCGTCATAACTTCATACATCACCTGTATCTTGTATGCATCTCTTCCTGTCCGAATAAATTTAGTATCAAAATGTTTATACATGTTGTTATTGTAAAAACTCCATGGGATACATTGCGAGAATAATGTATTCAAAGATCTCAAATATCATACATGTTAATACATATCACTGCTCGGTGATTACTGTGTGTGCATTTTTGTGTGTGTGGTATTTATAACTACTGTCAGTGAGACTTAGCACCTAAGACACAGAAATTGACTTATGCAAGATTAAACGTTAAACATTCACTATTCTGAGTGTTTGTGCTTTCAGATTACAGCAGAGACACTTAACGTGTCTCATACCACCATCTTTAGGTCTCTGGATTGCCATTAAACTATTTGTCTGCTATATTCTATATTGGTCACTATTTCTAAGTGTGTTTCCACATAGCCCTGTTATATATTCTTTTCTAAACAAAGATACGTTATATTCTCCATCTTGCTTTCTGTTTTTTTCTTCTTCTTCACGTTCACTGTCTGCGAACTTCGGCTGAAAGTTCTGGTTGTTCATCCACTTCTGCACTCTAGTCTTGTTCCAGAACTTAAGCTTTTTGCATGCATATTTATTTTTATTAGATCTGATTTGTTTTAAAGCAGACTTGCTTTCCTGCTTGTCAGGCAGAGGGAAGTCACCGTGGTGGGGCGGCTAAACACTCGCCTGCAGATCCGAAGGTCATATGTTCGCTCCCTGGTGGAGCTGGACCTTATTTTTTTTTTTTTTTTTTTTCAAAAATGACCTTGGCTCTCAGGTCAACCCCGCCTTGAGGGGGTACTGGGTGCAGTCCTGGGAACTAAAGGCAGCCGGCGTGATGCTGACCACATCACCATCTTGTGCCAATTTGTCTATAAAATATATATCTAGCCCAATATGCCCTATACGCCTGAAGGCATGGAAAAGGGTTCTTTACTTTTTTTTTTATCAGGCAGATTTGTATGTAAGAGATTTAAAAAAAAACTTGTGTATATTTGAATATTTTGCGGCGCCCCTGCGAAGAGGTCGCGGCTTCCAGTTTGAGAATCACTGATATATATATTTTACATTTATAGTCCTCTGATGTTGTATTTTTAGATATATATCATAAGCAGTCATAAACATACTGCTGTTGAGAGCACTGGAAACTAACGTTTGTTTATTTTACAGATCTCTATGATATCTCCAGGGATGAGCTGCTGCGAGCATACATTAAATACTCTGCGATATGCTGATAGGTGAGTCCGTGATTTCTCAGCTTATCCAGCTTTTTTTCCTTGTGCATTTGTATAATAAACAAGTAGAGAATGTATTGACTGGCACTCATACAAAGAAATAGAAAGATAGATGGACACACTAGACAACATAAAAATTTAAAGCTCTAGTAACCGTGCCGGGAATCGAACCTGTCACCTCCAAGTGGTGTCTACACCTCGCCTATGGTGCCATATCAATGGTTTGAGATTAATTCTGATTCCATAGTTGTGGATTTCAGGCTGTACGATAGACATGGTCAATAAAGAGACATTTATTAGGGGCACCTAATTAACCATGTTCTTGCAACATTGTTTGTGGAATCTAGCCCAGCATCTTTGGACTCACTCATCATTTGGCATAAAAGGTTAATGGATGTTGCTTAGTGCAACAAAGCCTGGCATATGATGCCACAACATCTAGTTTGAGAATGGAGATGGAGGCAGTCATTGCTGCCTTCCGCTGGCTTGAGAATCAGCTGTACACACATGCCGTGATTGTCACTGACTCAAAGAGCATGTTGAGAAAGGTACAGTGATCTGTTTTGTTTATATAACATGAGTATATTTGGTAAGTCTAAGCAAGTAAGTCTTTGAGAGCTGCCCCAGAGATATGTGCCAGTCTTAGTATCACTTAGTTATTATAGTTTATTATCACTCCATAAAAATACTTGCTTGTTTCTGTGCTGCTTTCACTTGAAAAGGGTGCTGTGAAAAACAAACTAGTTACCCCATAGCATTAAACTTAATCCTTCCATGTAAAATCCTCAGCATTTTATGCCAGTGTATCATTATCTGCTTTGAAACTATGTTCGCTTTCCAATATTTGTTTTTGGAATTTCAGAGTGAAGGAGCTGGGGCCTGGAGGACCCGTGGAGGGGAAAACATCGGACGTGAACCAAGAATATCCCAAACTTCCTGATGGGACATCTCCACAAAACTCTGACTTGGCTCTCCTCAAAACTTCTAATGTAAGTTACAGTACTTCTTTCTGCTTCGTTTTCTTCTTCTTCATCATCCTCCTCAGCACTAACTTTACTGCACAATTCCTAACCAGTGCTGGGCAGAGCCTTACGGGCTCAGTGAGCACTTTTCAGAGGCTCCTCGTCTGTTGCTGGGGGAAAACTAAAAATTGAATTAAATTAAAGATTATTCCTTTCACCCTAAGAAGCTGCAAACCTGGCACTTCCTAATGCCATAGTCATCCTAGGAACAGGTTCCTAACCGGGAGCCTGTCAAGTGTAGACAGGATCGACGTTTCCTTAAAGTCGGACTACATCTGCCTAAGAGACAAGGAAGCAACTGTGTTGCACACAAATAAGCCAGACCTTAAAAAATGGATGTACACTCAAAACTCTATTCCTGGAACAAGACCAAAGTCTAAAAGTGGGCAAACAACCAGGATCTTGCACTAGAGTTTTCAACAGGTGAACAAGAAGAGTACCTGCAAGGGTTATGTTAACTCAGCGGTTCTCAACCTGTGGGTCACGACCCCTTTGGGGGTTGAATGACCCTTTAACAGGGGTTTCCTAGGACCATAGAAAAAAACACATGTTTACTGGAGTTATGAAATAGCAAAGAAAATAATTTTATGTTTGGGGAATGAGGAACTGTATTCAAGGGTCACAGCATTAGGAAGGTTGAGAACCACTGCTTTAACTGATCTTGAACAGCTGTGTTCTGTGTTCCAAGAACAAAAATGAATGAATTGTGGAAATAAAGTATATTGTTTATTTATATATTCTGCAGGAGTACACCAGATGTGTCTATACAGTATTTGTATTGAGTGCTCTTTATAACAAAGTTTCACCATTTTGTAATAAGTTGAAAAATACAGAATACAGCTACAGTATCTTTTTGTAGTGAATTTAAAATGCATTGTCATGTTTTATCATTTAACAGGCAGAAGAAGTAACAGAAGAACTGTTGACATTCCATCAAGCATTGAACAAGATGCAGGAGATGGAGGAGGTCCTTGTTGACGAGTACAAGGCTTATCTAGAGGTAAACTAACTGTGTTGTCAGTAATTGGGTTCAGTCTTTAGCAACAATTATTGTGCTTTGGTTCAGCATTCTTTCATTATACATGAAAACTCCAACTATCTGATTATTGTTTAAGTTCCATCTTTAAAGGGGTGGTCTTAAACTTGTTTTCCATGTAACGTCCCATTTGAATGTGTGGCAAGATCCCCATGCAACCTTTTCCCCACCCCCTTTTTTCCTTCAGATTGTAAAAGTAATTATAAAGAAGACAAAAAGAAAAATCCTAAGCACTGTTAACAAGAACTTGGAGAAATAGAAAGTATTGAGATACATTTTGAACTTGGAGAAATAGAAAATATTGAGATACATTTTGAATTTGGAGAAATAGACAATATTGAGATATATTTTGAACTTTTAGAAATAGAAAATATTGAGATACATTTTGAACTTGGAGAAATAGAAAATACTGAGATACATTTTTAACTTTTAGAGATAGAAAATATTTTTAAGGAGAGTAACTTTAAGAACTTGTTTAGCATGTTTTTTTTTTTTTTTTTTTTTTTCATTTAGGAATCTCAAAAGTGGATCCAAGAAGATAAGCGACTGGTAAAAATGACAGACAACGTGGAGTATGATGTTGAAGGTATTGTCATTTGTTTTGAAAATTTCTTTTCTATTATTTTGAGAAATTAAGTGTTCAGTTATGAAGATTATTTCATGTTTGCTCCAAACCAAATGGTTTTTTTTTGGGTTTTTTTTTTATATTTTTTATTATTATATTAGTTTGTTTTTCCTCAGTGTGTGTGATGGACATAGATGGCCTTCTTGAGCCTCTGTATGGTGGGAATGACAAGTTACACTCATGCACTGTTGTGTTCTTTAGAGTTTTCTGTCTTGGTAAAAGGCACTCTTCTGTAGAATGAGGTGTTTCAGTGCATTAACTGGAATGCTCCCTTTGTGAATGGAAGTTTGCAAAAAACTACAATGTTAACAGTTTTTTCACAGAATGAGCCACTGGTCATTCCCCTTGTACAAAAAGTAATGAATTGAAAGAGATCTCATCTTTTGCTGAAATTCTTAACTGTATGGATAATATTCTGTGATTGTGGCATAGTCAGCAGAAAACTGTTCGTGGTTTGAATGTGTAAATTACCCACTTTAGGGATTAACCATTAAACTGCCATTTTTTAAACAAAACTGAAACATTTATTGCCATGAAATTAATAAGTCCACGGTTGGTTTATGTGTGAATTTTGTGTGTCTGTGTTAATCACCAGATAATTAAATAAGTTTTGCTTTATAAAAAACTTTCTAAATACGGAGCTGCCGTGATGTGCCGGCTAGACAGATCTGAAGATCAGGGGTTCTGGTCCAGACGGAACAAGACTTTTTTCAGAAATGATCTTGACTGCCAGGTCGACTCAGCCTGAAATAGGTTAGGTACCAGGTAAAGTCCTGCGAAGTAAAGGCAGCTAGCATGATGTTGACCACATCACCCACAAAGTGCCGATTGGTTTATAAAACATAAGCCTAGCCCTGTATGCCCATTATGCTTAAAGGCGTGGAATAAAGGTCCTTAAATGTCTAAATAAATGTTGCGTTATCACCAGATAATGTCTGAATAAATGTTCAGTCACCAGATAACGTTTAAATATATTGTTGACTATTCTCTCCATTGCCAGAGTTTGCCAAACAGTTGGATACATACTTAGCTAGACGGCATCAAGCTATATCTTCTCTAAGAGGTAGGTACAATTTAGTGCACATGTTTGCAGTAGTTACCCACACATGCTGATGTTTTTGGGTGTGTATTTGCTTATTAATAAAGATCAAAGGCATTATTTTAGGAAAAGCACAGAATTTTAATTATTGGGTCACATGTATAACATCTGACAAAAAATGTATCACAGAGATAAAGAACGGGATAAGTAAAGGTCCCTTTCAACGACTTCAGGCATATTGGGCAGAAAGGGTTAGACCTGTATTTTATAGAGCACTAAATGGGTGATAAAGGTGAATTATTACAGCGTCCTTAAGATCCTGTGGGATGGTCTCACTCTCCCAAATTCCTTGAAATATCTTGTGTAGCTGCTCAATCAGAACTGGGCCACCCACTTTGAAGACTTCAGCTGGAATAGCATCTGGACCAGGCACCTTCCCATTGGAAAGGAGATGGATAGCTTTTATGGTTTCTTCTGTTGTAGGTTGATCTGCCAATGAATCGTTGATAGGAATCTGGGACAAGCGGTTGATGGCTTCATCATTTGTGGATGATGTCTGGTTTAGTACGAAGTTAAAGTGTTCGACCCAGCGCTTGAGGATTTCTTTTTTGTCTTCGATAAGAGTCTTGCCGTCCGCACCAAAAAGGGGAGCCGAGACTGATGGGGCTGGGCCGTAGACTGCCTTTAGAGAGTCATAAAAGTTGTTCATATCATGTCTATCGACAAAGTTCTGGATCTCGTCAGCTTTGCTGCTCAGCCAGGAATCCCGCATTTGGCGAAGCTTTCGTTGTATGACCCTTCGTATGTTGTTGAAAGCATCTCTCTTTGACGATGACTTGGGGTCACCAAAACATATCTTATGGAGATGATGTTTCTCTATCAGCAGTTTTGCAATGTCTTCTTTGTTCTCATGAAACCAGTCTTTGTGAGGTCTTGTGGATTGGCCCAGGATTTCCTCAGCAGTTGTGTAGATAGTGTCTTTCAGAGTAGTCCAATCAGTTTCCAGGTTCTCACCTAGTCTAGGGTTGGACTGAAAACGATCCTCCAAAGTATCCACAAAGAACTGTTTTACTTTGTTGATTTTAAGATGGCCAACATTTATCTTTTTAGGCATTTTCACTCCCTAAGGGCGCCTTGGCGGTTGAATGCAGATGTTCATTTTGGACACAATAAGACGATAGTCAGTCCAGCATTCAGCTCAACACATAGATTTGGTCACCCGAACATCTTGTCTATCTTTCCTTCTGACTATGACATAGTCAATAAGGTACCATTGTTTAGAGCGGGGATGCATCCAGGATGTCCTGTTTCGAGTCGGGAGATGAAATATTGTGTTTGTGATTAGGAGTTCGTGTTCGGCACAAGTTTGAAGGAGGAGGGGTCCATCGCTGTTGCAGTTGCCTACTCCGTATTTGCCAATAATGCCGTCCCATGAGGCTGTGTCAGTGCCAACTCTAGCATTAAAATCACCTAGGATTATTAGTTTGGGTAAATAGTACAGCATCATGCCAGTCGCCTTTACTTCCCAGGACTCCACCTGGTACCCATTCAAGGGCTGGGCCGACCTGGAAGCCATGGTCATTTTTTGAGAGAGAGAAGCAGTCTGGTGCGGTCAGGACCCAATCCCATGACCTTTCAATCTGCAGGCGAGTGTCTAGCCGTTGCAGCTCTCAAAAACCAAATGGGACTACTGCAGTTTATAAAATGAAAAGTTTATTCAATGAATCCATGTCACTGGAAATTAGAATATATAAACAAGCCAAACAACTTCTTGAGGCCTCAGATGGGTAGTTTTACACAGGAATCTTTAGAACTTTTTGGGAGCCAAAAAGAGCAACCCAGATGTTTTGGAGAGACAGTCACCATTTTTTGGTCATGTTATGAGAAGAAGGAACTTTAAGCATGTTGTGATCACTGAAAAGATCTGTGGAAAAAGAGGCAGGGGAATAATGCGAGAAGATTCTTGACAACCTTTTGTCATGGCTTGTAGGGGTGTCAACATGTGAACTGATCAATATTGTTAAAGATCACAGATTTGGAAGAGGCATGACTGCCCACACCAGTCAGCAAGGCACTTGATGATGATGATTTGCTTCCTGAAAGTTTGGCACCTAATTTTGGATTTCAGTCCATCTGGAGAAATCCCATTTACTCTGTTCAAACTAATAAAGCCTTGTTCATAATGCAGAAGATATAACATGAAAATAAATGCTGCTAACACTGAAGTCATGCAGGTCAGCAGAATTCCTGGTCTGCTACATATCACGTTAAAAGGTTCTTGTCTGAAGCAAGTTAAAAAAATGTAAATATTTAGGAAGTATATTCTCGGAGGATGGAAGAAGAGATCAGAAAATAGAAACGAGATGTCAACGAGCTAGCACATTTATATACAAACTGGCACCGTTATTAAGACATCCAAACATAAATATGAGTGCCAAGAAACAGATTGTAAACAGCATATTCTTACCAACACTATGCTACCAGTGCCAGGCCTGGACATTATCAAAAGCTAACCTATGTAAAATTAACACCTGTGAAATAAGATTCCTGAGAAAAGCTGTTAACTTAACCATCCGAGACAAAGTTAGAAATAAAAATTATCAGAATGCAGAAACAACAGCATGCACCAAATTCATTGAGAAAAAGAGGATCATATGGTTTCATCATTAGTAAAAATGTAGCCAGAACAACTACTAACGCAGGCGCTACACATGAAAAGATCTGAAGTGAAAGCAAGAGGTCGCCCTAGGAGAATATAGATTGATGTCATTAAAGAGCTTCTACATCAACACGGATTGACATTAGCCACTGCTGGCCATCACGCAATGGATCGCAAACTGTTCCTGTCTACAGCGCCTAATGGCAGAAATGGAAATTAATGAGGAAGAACGGTATAAAATAGTTATTTTGGGGAATCCTATGGCTGCACCAAGAATTACCTTGATGTGCCCTGTTTTCCTTGATGAATGAGGGCCATCTTCCATTCCACACTGGGGTGCATTAAGTGGGAAGGCATATGCAATTAGCAACATTAGGTACTGCTAGCTAAACTAACATTTAGCATAATCATAGTTAATGGTAATGTTTCAGGATAGCAACAAAGAAGACTGGTTAAATGAATAGGTAATTCCCTTATCGGTTCTGCGGCCTTATTGGAGAAAGAGGGCAGGGAATAGACCTATTGCTGTTTAAGGATTTTCTGAAATTAGGTGTGTTGGGCAGAAAGGATGGGCTACGGCAAGAACACTGACCTGATCAGTGATTGTGTGCAATTAAAAACAATTGGTTGCCTAGGCTTATCGGCAGCGCATATGGTGATGGTTTCAAACATTTGTCATTGCAGAAAAAGTTGCGACATTCCGTCAAGAAATTCAAGAAGAAGAAACGCTGAGTAAGAACATCAAGCCCACACAGTACAACCGCAAGTAGTGCCTGCACCGTGCCTAGCAGTTCTTTCATGCCGCAGGAGCTCTCATTGCTGTACAGTTTTGGTCATGCTTGTGAAGATGTCCACATTGCTTCAAGCCCTTGATTCGTCAGACAACTACTGTGCTACAGCTACATTCATTTACTGCTGTACTGATTAACTCTCTCTTTGCTAGACAGGTGTTATTTTAGCATATTCTTTATTCTGTTCTACAAAATTGTTACTTATCTAATAAATGTTTGGGTCTGACAGGGTTAAAGTAACAACACTGTGAGGCAGAAGACAGTAATTGGAGCAGGGTTTGCTAGTATTGCAGTAGGCAGTAATTAGAGATAGTGTTACCAAGCAGCGAGGCATGGTGGTCAAGACATGTATGTCAATCAGATCAGTAGAATACAGCGGACTTGCTGTCAGTCAGTTGGCTGGTACTGAATAGCATTCTTACACACATCAGATACATATGTGTGGAATACCTAAGACTGCATAAATGCTAAGTTGTAATTTCATTTGCTGAGACGACCAACTCTAGTTATTGGTGCCTTCTTCCTCAGGTATCTGATGCAGAGCAGTGCTGCAGATTGTTCATGACCATTCTGTAGAATAGGGTTACAGAATGTAACTCCACAGATTCTCATCTCTAATTTCCCAGCCATAATAAGTTACAGATGACTGGTGTTCTTTCATGAAATTCTAGTCCTGTTCAAATTCTTGTGCTCTTTAGTAGTAAAAGTAGAATATTTTTTTTTTAAACTTTACAGTGGCACTTTATTCATAATTACGTGGGTTGTGTCTGACTTATGATTTATTAATCTGTCCATTTATGTTGTTGTTCTGAAAGACAGACTGGCACACAGAAACATCTGTATACAAGATTTACTGACTCATGTATACACAGACACATACAGATGTTAAAGATTTGCTGTCTCCACAGACATTGGGGATATTATTATAATTATCATCATTATGGATTTGACATTGAAGTTACTTTCTTTGGAAAGAATTGCGAAATGTATGGTTATAATGAATTATCCTAGGCCTTTTGAATGTGATTAGTGAGGACCATCAACACAGCACTCCAGAGTATTCTGTCGGTACTCTGATCTCCTCAGAGCTAGCTCTACATGCGTTCAAGGACTGATCACGCAAAATCTCTATTGATAACTGTTCATGTTTGACAGCTCTAGGCTTCACCCCCAGTATCTACAAAATTGGATTTCATTTTAACAGTATGCATCTCAGTAGATGTTGCAAATCTGCAGACTGGCAGCATTTGATTTGGCGTTATATTATACAGAAGGGTTATCTTCCAGGTCAGGCATTTGCAGATTATCTGATAGAGTTTTGAAAAAGGTGTGTTAATTTACTGACAGATGTAAGCACTGATAAAATCTAATGAGTGTTTACAGTTCATCAAATTGAAACTGGAGGTCTCTATGGTGAAATGGTTTAGCCAATTGCCTCATGTTGTAAACATTTCATGGATTTAACTCACGACTTCAGTTTTAGAGGCCCTAAGGGAATGTCAGTGGCACTGCAGAATTGGTGCAGCTTTCTTGGGAGGGCAGCTAGCCATTATATGACACAAGCTAAAGATGTATGGTATCCAACAGTGAAATGAAGTCGATCCTCTTAACTTTAAAAGGATTCGTTTCCGTTCTGTATGTTAGTAGTTATGGACTGATATCTCATAAAGTGATCTATATATCTTGTTTCCATGAGTCCACAGAGATCTGGTTTGTTTCCTGCTTCTTGTCATAATTTTCATTTGTTGATTAAATGCGGCATGTTTGATAACTTTATATAAATAAATATATATATTTGTCTTGAAATGTTTATATTTTTGACTGGCTTGTTCATAATGGGGCAGACTGTTCTGAAAGTGGACAACACAAACTTTGGGTTTTTATGCAGACTATATCCTCTTGCCTGATGTTGGTAAACTTGTGGTAATGTTGTTTTTTTTTTTAAATAGAAATGTGTAAGTTATGATGGAATATCAGTATGACTGTGTGGGTGGTGATCAGTACTTAAAACCTGCACAGTTTTCAAGGCACGAGGCAACAAACAGTGTTGAAGCCCATTTATTACTTTTATTTTGTAGAGAAATGTTTTACATTGTCATTACCTGTTTATCATATGAAGAGGTTAACGAATCTGTTTCAGAAACCTTATGTACCAGGGCTCGATTTCCTTCCCGGTTGGTTTAGGGCGGTGGTTTTCAAACAGGGGGTGGGGCAAGAAAGTGTCATAAAGGGCCTTAACCAGTTTTTAAATTGAGTGTAATAATGTTATACCAACATTCTTTTCTGTCTAATTATGAATGAGTTAAAAAAAATTTAAACTTTAAGACAGAAAGCTAAGAATTGTTTGTTTCCATGAACAGTTTGTAATTTACTGTTAAAAAACAAATTAGTAAGATAACGTGCATTTATGATAGATTAAGAACACATTTTGACCAAAACATATCTCCATACTGTCTGTGCTGCCTCTTTTTTTATTGTTGTTGATCACAGTTGGTGGGGTGGGGGGGGGGGGGGGGGGGGGGCCTACCTGAAAAGGGTTGAAAACCACTGGTTCAGAAAGACTTTTTTGAATGGTAATGATGCAAAACTAGTTCTGTGGAAGAGATTAGAGCCTGACCATGTAAAATTCTCAACGATAACTGTGGATACATATACAGAAGTTAGAGGATATTTGCAGTCTGGTGTGATTTTTTTGTTTTTTTTGGGGTCCTTATTACAGCTGCAGCAATAATGCCCTCATTTATGTTGTCCATAGATGTGCCCATAATTTATGTTCAGTCATGAAACTGCTTAGTTTCTGCATATGTTAACTGTTTATTCCGATGTTCTGATTCTGTTGATTGATACATGTTATGGTGGGTTCATGGGAACACGATGCCATGCATGGAGGAAGAAAATCGGGATAAAATAGGAATTAAGGAGAAATTGATTGCAGCTAGGTTGAGAGCTGTCCATCTGAGAAGAAGCTGGTTAGATGCATCTGATGGCAACAGTAGTCTTGAAATCCCATACTCTGATTGTGACACTTGTTGTTGTTGACACAGGAGGATCTTGCTAGTCACACTCGCCAACCTTAAGTGGTGTACCAGGTACAGTCGTAGGAAGTCAAGATGACCAGCATGATGCTGACCACATCACCCACCAAGTGCCATTTGGTCTATCAATGTTAGGTCTAGCCTTATATACCTAGTGCGCCTGAAAGCGTGGAAAAGAGTCCGTAATATTATTTTTTTTAATAAACTTTAAAGTTAAGAGAATGTTAACATATTAAAAGTGGAGATTGATGAACTTGTGACAAACATAGTAATAAAGCACTGAAGATTGTCTGTCACCACCAGAGCAGCCATGATCACGAAATTGCAGGACAGGTGTGAATATTGTAGAGTAAAATAAATTGATTTTACTTAACCTGAAGCTCATAGAACTTTTTTTTATTTTTTTTTAACTGAGGCTGTGTGTGGTAAAGTGCTTACTTGCCTGCCTCAAACTGAGGTTTTTGGGTTCAATTTCACACTATCCTTTGGTTAAGGATGCAGGTGTTTCAAGAGATCTGTGTGTGAGGGGGGGGGGGGGGGGTGCATCTCTGGAGCTACAGAGTTTTGAGCATTGTGCAGCAGGAAAATGGAGATATATGGGATAAATCATAGTACTATGAAATCGCCTCCTCTCTTTTATTCTCCCTTAACATATTTAAAACTGCAAGATTCTCCTCTTTTTGGTGTTCACTAGCAGTAAACTCCAGCAGAAAGTTGTGGTTTTTCACCCACTTCTGGACTTGTGTTTTGCATGCACATCCATTTTGTAAATCCGGCTTATCTTTATGCAGACTGTTGGTTCCTCACCTCTCTGGCAGATGCACTACGACTTTGAAACGGGAAGATCCCTAATTAGTGACTTTCAGGACATGCTAATTAGGACGAGGTGGATCTATTTATTGTCTCCTCCACAATGGGTACCCGGAACCCACACAGGGAAAAGATCATCTAAAACAAATGGACATGTGGTTGCTGCTTCAAATTGTGCAACTGATGGAACCTGATGTTTTCAAAGATCGTGACAGCTGCTTACAGAGGACTAACGGAAGACAAATGTAAGTGTGGTTGATTTACAGTGTGAATGATAATTCTATTGTGACCACTGGAAAGATCTGTGGAAGGAAGGATAGAGGAAGACAAAGAGAGAAGATGCTTGACAGTCTTGTTGCATGGCATGGAGGTGTGTCTGCACACGAACTAATACATGCTGCAGGAGATCGCAGATTATGGAGAGGCATGATCGCCCACGCCAGTCGGCAAGGCACCTGATGATGATGATAATTTGTCTTGACTAGATTTCTTCCTTTGATTTGTGCATTTGAGCTCAGACTAAGTCTACCAATAGCTAGTTTATCTGTTTCAAACTGAATTGGAGAATTACAAATCTTATGACAAATAATTAACTGCTGAATTGCCCTGTTTCTTCTCTGGTGTTATGTTCTGCACTCATGTGAATAGTTTACTATCAGTGCATTAGAGTGGATACAGTTGTTTATTTACTTTTATGTTATGCATTCTGATCTCTTAGTTGCATTTTTTTTTCTCTTTAAATATTCTTCAGTATGCACAAATGTCACCTCAGTGCTAAATTCTTGTTTTGAGAACATCGTGCTTACGCATTAAGATGTCTAAAGACTTGTGTATTTGTGATGAAAATAAATACAGTGGAACTCTAATATTTGTCTACGCCAGTCTTCGTATTGTTTCCCTGAAAAGTAAATATTCGTCCCTCCTCCAACATGGCCAATGAGTCATCTGACGAGAGAAAAAGGATAAAAAGGGACCAATTCCAAGTGCTGAAATTAAGGAATGGGTGTCCGCTTGGGCAGAAATGGAGGATTTTATCTAGAAAGGCAACCAAACATCACTATAGTTAATGAGCATATCAGTTCATTTGATGATGTTGCGCCTGGACACTTTCGGAACATTTTTAAAACAAAACAA